AAGTCCGAGTTCTGCTGCCTCGACCCCAGCTCCCATTCAGCATATGCAGCCCTAAAACCACCCAGGTAAGAGCTCCAGTGCAGCCAACTTTCAGCCACCTTGAGCTTGTTATACATGAGAATAATAATAATAATAAAAGCCTTAGAGAACATCCAACTTCTCAGTAAGGAATTATTCTCTTTATTTTTGTAGTAGTAAACAGAGCATTTGCTACATTTATGCTAAAAGAATTTAAATTACTAATGGCTTCACGTCTGTTTTCTGAGTTTTAGAGGAAGTTAGCGTAAGGCAGGTGTGCAGTCCATTCATTGCTATTGAGTTCTCTAACAACCTAATAAGAGTTTTCCAATTTGCCTAACATATAAGTGCTGGCTCATAGTGGAGGAGGTCAGAGGAGTGTGTGGTGAGGATATCTTAACCTCTTTTTCACTTGCTGTTATGCATTCAATGGGAATTTAGTTCTGAGATTTGGTTTCAGGTCTCCATAAGCAGACAGGTTGCTTTAGGACTCTGCTTTTTCCCATCTGAAGCAGGGCTGGGTTCGAATACTGAGTGTATTGCCTGGATAGGGGTGAAGCTTGGATACAGAAGGCATCTTGCAGTAATACTTTCCAATATTATCTCCAAGCCATTCCCTTTAAATGGTTCCTAGCAGGGAGAGAAGTGTAGTCTAGTCTGACCCGCTCAGAAGATGTAGCGCGTACAGCGATGCGTACAGGGCTGCTAGGGTTGTGAAGGCCTCTTGCTCACATTCAGCCCATCCGTTTTTCTGAATCTTCACTCCGCTCATCTCTAACATTACAGTGGTTAATTTTTGTCCCTGCTCCTGGGAGAAGGAGAGCAGCCTGGCATCCACGCTGAAGCACCTCTCTGTGTTTTCTATGTCATGTTCCAAGATGCTCTTGACCTTTGCAACAAGAAAAAGAGCTAAGTTGGTGTTTTCAACCCCCAGCAGTGATGCCACCCGTCCCTGGAAGTCACCAAGTGACTAAATGGTGCCTTTGACTTGTGAACTTTGACTTCAGTGTCTTCCAGGCTCACTGAATAATGCAGGTTTATATGTAGCACTTCTCACACAGCAAGATCACCACACTCAGGTACTCAGTTTTCAGTTTCTTGTGAATTAGTCATGTCTAAGAAATCAAAATGCTGCTGGGCCTGTAAATCTGAAGCCCAATAAGTTAACTGCTGGTCAGGAAGATGCTTGCAACTGTGGTAAGATCATGGCAAACCCTCTGAGAGGGGCTATACTAGAAAATGATACTCAGCTGCATCCAGTTTAGTATTTGCAAAACAGATTCTTCCTTCCCTTTTTTCCCATGTTACCTTAAGTTATGATATACTGCTACTTATACCATAATCTTGATTTTTATGGTATATTTTAACTATATATTATGCTTGTTATTTCAAAAAATGTTTTTTGTTTATTTAAAAAAAATACAGCTCCCTTTGTTTTGAGACAGGTATGACTAGATTGTGTGTGGTTCTTACCAGCTCAAGCTGTTGAGACACAATCTTCTCTTCCAAAGACTCTAGCAATAGCAGCAGCTGATCTTCTGTTAATTCTGGAGAATTAAAGCAGATTTATAGCCCAAAACAAACAACCCCCACGAAAAATACCCCTTTCCCTTCAAACAACAGCGAAAAAGAACAACAAAAGAAACTACTGATTTGTTTTAGGCCCAACTGACAAGATAATGACTACCAATTGTCAGCATGGAACCCCAGTTTGATCAAAAATTGTGTATTTTATCCTAAGTTAATCAAACAGTCTCTCTGTGAACTGATTGACAGTGGTATTTAGGCCTTACCCTCCAGAGCATAAAGGGTGTAGTTAATTCCTTCTGCAAGCCCCAGGAGGAGGGGACTCGGAGAATCCCGTAAACTGAGCAGTAGGTCTTTTAAATCCGGGCTGTCTGTTTCCAACTCACATTTGCCAGTATCATAAAGAACAGCTTCCATCTGGCGGGGCAGAATCAGAGAAAGAAATCTCAGGATTTCAGAAGAAATTGCACTTGCAATGTAACTACAGAAGTGGACCTAGAAATGGTCCTGGAATAGGCGCTTCCCATCCCTGAGCTATTTATGAGGCTCTAGTTAAGGTTTTAGTGAAGTACAACATTCACACATTAAATTCAGAATATTCAGACACTTAAATGATTTGTTGATACCTTCAGATAAGGAAATCTTCTAACTTCCTGGGGGGAAAATAAGTCTGTAAAGACTGAGAAGAGAGGCTGCCAAGCTAAACTGAGGACGTATTTCCCCAGACCACTCTGTCCTGGGCACCTTCTGCCTCCCTTTGCGTAGTGACCAGAGGAACGTGCTGAGGAATGGTTTGGATTGCTAGTCATGGCATAGGAGATGACTCCTGGGGGCAGGTGTATGATAGCAAAGGGCTTTGTAGCTCTAAATGTGGTAATGGGAAGAACTCTGCTTACTTTCTGGGCCAGCTCTTGAAAGAGGTTCCTGTTTCTCATCACAGCTTTGAAGGATTTTAAAAATATATTGTGCAGATCCACAGATAACTTGGAGAAAAATCAGTATTTTGCGTTAACTTCCTTTTGTAGCGCTCCTAACTGTCTGGGCAAAAAGCCTGGAAAACAGAAAAGAGTTTTAATATATCACTTTTAAATTAGGAGAAGACTACAGTAGGTCCACTGGCATCCCTAAAATTGCAATTTGAAACATTTAGACTAGTATTTTTGAAAAAAAGTAATAGGTAACTTGAATATACTTCCTTATGGACAGTTGTGGTAGCTCAGGTGATGGGCAATAGCCCCAGTAAACACATTGCTCTAGATGGTGTGGGTTTATCCTCAGAAATTTCTGCTTAGCTGAATGGCTTAAAAGTAATGCAAATAATGGTATTAAGATACACTGCTTGCCATCAGACATGAATGTTTGTTCATCATCCTCCGGGAAATGGCAAATATCTACAAGAGAATAAAAAGGGAATTGTTAACTGAGAAAATACTTAAAGTTGGATAAGTTTTTTCCTTTTTTTCCCTCTAAGTCTGAAGATATTAGCACCCCAGTTATGAAATTTCCTGCGCTCGCTGTAAGTCAGACCGTGATATTGTTTCAACTGTTCTCCAGTGCATCCGCTTTCTGCACTTCCTCTATAAGAAAAGGACCTTTATCCTTTGCACAGTGTTTCAACAGGAACTGCCTTTGGAATTTACAGAGTTTATAATAGAGATTTCCTTATAAGTTTGTTTCTTTCCAAAAAAAGCACCGCTTCACCTCCCTCCTAAGTAGCTCTTCAGCTCACTTTATGTAAAAATGCTCATTTTCTTTCAAATGAGCTGCGGCGTGGGGACGTTAGGCTGAAAGAGGTTTTAGGAAATGTTTTTGCTGCCTGCAGTGGAAGGGTTGGAAGTCACTTACCCCATGATCCGTCTCCAATTAATAGCTGTGTTGTCCTGAACGCCATGGTGCAGCCTTTGGATATAGTTATGCCTTGTCTGAAGCCTCCGGTGCCCTGATCAACAACAACAAAAAGTGTCACTAGACCCAAAAAGGCACACAGATATTCTCAGACGTCTGGCTGCTGAAGATAAACACAAATCAAACCTCTGTGATGAACTTGGCGTAAAGCTGGACCATTAAGTTCCCTTCTATCTTGCTGGTTTCCTCACATTTGGTTTCCTCTAAGACTTGTATCGATTCAGAAACCACAAACAAATTCTGTTGCTTTTTCTTTAACTGTTGAATGAAGGAATGTTTCATATTGATTTTTCTAAAGAAGGGAAAAAGATGCAATATTAATGCTGAGTGTCTGTTGGTTTTATCTGGGAGTTATACCAAAAATACCTGCAGCCTGTGTAGAGACAGAGGCCTTATGCTTGTGTCCTTTCTCTTGCTGTGTGAGTATACATAAATGTGACAATGTGGTTAAGAGGCTTTTTGTGGGGGGGAAAAAAAGGTGAGCTACAATTTCTGCTGTCCCCTGTGCACTTCCCTTCTGCATCTTCTAGGGACCTGCAGGAAGGATGTGGCAGAGGAGGCTGTGTTCTGGCAGGCCACATAGGTGCCATGTCCCAGTTTGCCTGTTCATTTCCAGGGATAAAATATGAGAAGAGATGGCTCGACTGGCGTTGAGGTGTTTCTACTTAAAAGCTCCTTACATAGGTTTGTGTTAGGATTTCTTTGTTCTTACCACCTCTTTCCTCCAGAAAGTCCTCCAGAAGTACGCATAGCTAGCGCAAATGCAGGGGCTTCACTCTCAATTTTGGAGGCTGAAAACAATTTGTGTGATCTGGCATAAGGCAAAAGGGGGTGACCAAGGCATGTGTTCTCTCTTCACACCTTCCTTACCTTTCTGCTTTCAGTGACTCAAGTTTTGCTACTGGAATGTGTTTCTTTTCCAGCTTGATGGACCTGTCTTTGGACCAGCAGGTAGATAGAGATACTTCTGTGTTTGCAGAGTTAACAGGAATTTGAAGTTTCCCTTGAATTTTGCCATCGACGTGGTGTGTGAGTGTAACTTGGCTTGAATCTTGAACATCCTTAGCAGGGATGAGGGGCTCTGAAATAATTTGATGTGCTTGATTAAACATAATTACACAGACTCAGAACTCATGCACACAGGAAAGATGGGTCATGGCAGCCCCTGAGTGAAAACAGAATGATCTTTGGCTTACGGAAACAAACAGGATGATGTTTGGCTTATCAGCCAAAAATGGTGAATTTAAAAGTGATAAATCTGGGCATTACCTGCACTTGTTTTGTCTTCTCCAGGTAGCAGCACATCATAGAGGTTATACTCTGTTCTCCTGTAGCCAGGATTTCGGTTAAAAATGGTTTTTCCTTTTCTTCTAACTAGGCAGAACAGTCTGAAATGTTCTTGGTCCGAGATACTAGAAACTGGAATCAGTTCTCCCTTTGGATCCATCTGCTTTGCTATGGATTGGGTAACTTTTTTGAACATACTGCTGAAGCTTGATCAAAAACTTTGAACCGAAAGATAGTGTACTTTTGCCTTGGGAAAGGTAAAGACAAATTAAGCCAAATTACTTGAAATACAAATAGGAGGCTTCAGAAAAAATATCTGGCACTTCTAATTATTGAGCAGTTTTTTTTTTAAACACCCAGAAAGTCCACATTTGTACTAGGGCATATTTATACAAGATTATTTACAGGGAAGTTCTTGGCGAACCAGGGATAACTAATGTGTTGACCCCGTTTAAAATTGGTGAGGAGGGGAAAAAAAGTTTGTGCAATTTCCTGCCACAATGAGCGAGCAGTTCGAGAAGGATGATTCTTAGTTTCTTTACAAGTGCTACTTCTGCATTTTACTCCCTTATATCTTGAGGCCTGACAGATAAGAGTGATTTATTGGGAAATGACAGTGCTAAAGCATTAGAAAAATGATTTTGTTGAAATCTGACAGCAAGAAAGTGAAAGTGTTGACAGGAGAGTAATGATTTCCAGGAAAGCGATAGGACAGCTTGCTGTATGCTGAAATGTTCCTCGGCATTTTGGGTACATTTGGGTACATTTTGGGTACTGTAGCTGCAGACTCCTCCTCCCCCTAAACACACACGTTCCGGCACGGCTGCTCCATTATGATCCAGCTCTCTGCCCTTTGTCTCCCCTGAGAAAGGTGGATGTTAGGCAGAAAGGCAGGCGCTGTCAGACTCTGTCCTGTTTCAGCTTGTTGGTACTTTCAGTTTCATTTCTTGCCTTTCTAGCAATATTTGTAAGGCACAATGAAGAATATTCTGGATTTATGAATTGAAAAAAGCTACTGTAGTCATTAAGGAGAAAAGCGTACAGGGTTTTTCCCCCCATCTGTACCCTACTTCATCAGATTTTGCTAGAGAAAGGAAGAGAAGCAGATTGTGGGTTATAGTTCATGTTAGCGATTCCATCACACGGCGGAGGGAATTGTTCCTCCTCCTCCTTACTTAAGGTCCCTCAGCAGTCTGAAAAAGCAGTTTGATTCTTTCAAATTTATGAAGACTTGACACATCAGAGGATAGAATATTATATAAAATGAGGGCAGGAGTGAAGAAATAGTCCTACTCTCTTCTGTTTCATGTGGAATCATTTTAGTAGTTTGCAGAGAACTCATTCTCTTACCAGACTTAAAAAAACAAACCGTAAAACTAAAACTGCTCTTAAGTTTGCTCTACTCCTCTCCTGTATGGAAAGCTCTTAAAAATCCACTTGCCTCTTTACGGTGCGAAGCAGCTTCTCTTCTTGCCTCTTCCTCGGTGCAGAGGTTCATGCAGTCACGGGTGCTGTGTGTAGCGTTGCCTCTTTAAAGCAGAGGGGTGGAGAAATGCTTGAGATGTCCGGAAATAGCAATAGGATTGCCCTAATATAGCACATAATTCTTGCTCCCAAAGGTTCTGTCATCAGCGTGGTTTTCTGTCATGAATTGTTACAGTGGGCGTGGATAATCTTAAATAGTGCCATGGATTAATTCCTCTTATATTTTAAGATTAATGCCATTCCTAGTCTGGTTTTGAGTTGTACTGCACTTATCTATTGAAATAACATGTTCTGGTTTTGGAGATTTCACTAAAGCTGTCAGAGAGGAACAAGTAGGTGTGTTGTAGACAAGAGGACAATGTTATTACTTTACTGGGAGCACTTTCAGGAACTAGCTGCCATGTGTTAATCATTGCATTGAAATCTCTGGACTGTGTGTTACAGTTACGAAAGCTGTCATAAACCATTTCTTGGGATTTTCTGTAAGACTTTATATAATTTCTACAGTTTGTTTTTAAAAACCTGAATGCCAGGCATGCGAGGGGAAGAGCCCTGAGGCCAAAGCACTTGGCATGTGTCTTTCCCACTCGTCCGTGTGTCCAGCTGAGCAGGGATGCACACCTGCACCCGCCGTGCTCCACTCCAGGAAGCTGCAAGCCTTCTGCTGCACTGCACTCTTTAAGCTTGTTTAACAGCAAATCCTGGCCATGCAAAATTCAGGGAAGCAAACACAAGTTTTTACATGAATACTTACTTTATTAGTTTCTCTTAGAATACTGTACAAAGGAGTAATAAAAATATTCACACTTTATTTTAGAAAGTTCTCTAGATGAGATTTTTTTGTATACACAGCAAAAAGAAGGGCTACTGGAAAAAAACCCTAAAACTATGTACAATGTGAGAATGTTCCATAAAAAACTAATTTAGCTTGCTTAAATTGATCCAGGGAAGATGCATATACACACCACTCACATGCTTAAAATGTATATTACGGGCAATGATAAAGCAATGTAAGTCACAACAGGAAGGATTAATGTGTTAACAATGGTAACCCAGCTGCTGTCCCTTTTTTAAGGGCCAGTACCATCCTTTTATTAAAAAGGTAATAAAAATAAAAGTACTCTGGAGTTAAGTAGCCCTGGATCTCAGGGTATTCCTTTTTTAAAGGCTTTCTCCTGCAAAGGATTGGGCTCCATGACATCCTGTTAGGTATATTAAATTAATTGCAAGACAGAATCTCTAATTTGGAAACATCAAGCTGGTAGTATTGATTGTTTTGTGGCTTTTCCTGGTACAGTGATTTCCGTACTGTGCAAGTACATGGTCTTGACAATGGCTTAGAGCAGTTTTTGCCCATAACAAGATCAGGCAAAGGGATGGCTTTTGCCAGCACCTGTGAATGCATCTAATGGTGCTTCTCAAAACCTTTTTCCCTTCTCCATCCACAGTAAAACAAAATGAACGGCATTTTTAGGTACATACTTGTCCATTCTTTGTTCTCAGTCCCTCAGTGGAGTCTACCTTTAATTCTCCATCTGCAGTTTACTCTGGTCACTATGCAGGCAGCCAGTACAAGGCTTAAAGGGAAATATCCTGTGTGTTGTGACTGAAATCCCATTTAAAATCAGTAACAATCATCTCTCCTTCATTGCAGGTACTTGGAGAAAATCTTCTGGTCTAAAAGAACTAATGGAAAGTCTTTTTCAAGTAGGTTTTCTATGTTCTTTTAATAATTTTCACACTTGCCCTGTAGATGGCATCTTAATATCAAATCAATAATTGCTCAAGTAACTACAAATCTTATCCAGATGCTTAACATAGTCTATAATTAACATGAAATGTTCTTTTCAGTTTTTACTTCATTTCCCCATATTTTTCCTGTTTTCCTTTATATTTCATTTGATTGGATTAACTGCATGAGTCCAAGTTAACTTCCAGATATTCCCTGGCCAAAATGCTGTGCCTATGTTGTGAAGAATGTAACTTGCCATATAACCCCAAATACATGTGTGTAATGGCTATTTTAATTCAGTATGAACAAAGTAAATCAGAAAAGTTTGCTATTAAAATTAAGGCTTTGTCTAACAAGAGATTTTAGGCTTTAAAAACTGCTCTTTTGAGAAACTTGTAATTCCATTCTGTTCTATATTGTTTAGCAGTTAATCTTCAGCTCAACAAGATGGAATCAAATGTCCCTAGTTTCAGTTAATAGTAAAAATATGTTCAGATCCTCAGCTGCTCTAACACCAAGGCCTTCAATGAAGCCATGGTGCCGTAGTTATTTACGAACACCTGACCCTGAACTTCAGTTTATTTTTCTGCTAAAAACATCAAAATAGCCCTGATTTTATGTGCATGGACTTACAGAAATAGTCAATACATGTCTGTTGGGATGATTTTTTTAAGCAGAAGCATCCTTGGTAAGTCAACTGTCTTTGCAGGTAAGTGAATGGTTTTTGCCCCTCACATTCTGCCTAAATAACTAAATTGTGCTCTTTTCCCTGGAGGAGATTTGCCAATAGTGTGCACATTCCACGTGCTGTCAGACATTCGGATTTGCCGAGCACCGTGCAGTCTACACCACGGATTTTGGCCTAGCCATCCTGTTAAGAACAGGCTCTACAAACATGAAGGTAGCAGACCTTCTACAGGCATTCAAGACATTAAAATGACTAAGAAATCAACAGTATCAAAGGTACTCAGCTGATTGAAGAACTAGCTCTACTTTGAAAACAATATTTTATTTCAAAAGTCATTGTCTAGTAGCTTAAAGAGTATATTAGCTTTAGGGTATATAGTACCTTAACTAAAGCAGCAATCTCTGTCATGGTGGTTAAAAGGTTTTTTTTAAAAAAAAGGAGAGGGGGAAAAAAAAAAGAGAAACAAACCAAATAAATTAGACATCTGTCAAACTCCCTCACTGGAGAATAGCACTTAAACATCAAGCCAGACTCTTTTTTTGTCTCTCTTCAAGAGCTTCCTTTTGACTTAGACTATTTCCATTTCAAACATACTAGATAATATGTCTCTAGGCATTACAACAGCCCTCTGAGAAATATTGAATGTTTTGTTTTTCCTTTTCTCAGCAGCGGTCTGATAGTAAATCTGAGGCAGAGAAGTAGAACAGCTTGCCCAAAATTAGGCATGGAGTAGTATTAGGCTTTATATGCAAACTTGAAGTTCTTCTATCTCTGTCCATATTGAGACCATCAAAGAGAACTCATCAGCATTTACTCTCTTGCCCACTGACTTCTGAGGCTATACTTGGCTAATGCAGGGAACAAAATACCATATTTAAAATGTTTAGATTGTTGTCAAAATTATGAAATGTACAAGTACTAAGACAACAAAACTACAGGCTTTTAGGGGAAGCATGAGGAAAAACACATTTCAACCAGCACACAACCTAAAATAAAACCCTTTAGGAACAGTAGAAAGATCTCTCAACCAGGAGAGCTAAACCTGCAAACTCGTTTTATTTAGGTGGACGATTTTATGGGGGAAGAAAGCTCAATACTGTTTCTATCCTAAATCATCAGTTATCTTCAGGGACCCACTGCATCCTTGCGGTGCTCCGCTCGGGAGCTGGCGGCTGCTGCTTAGTGCAGCTGTCCTAGAGCTCCTCACCCTGTCGGAGGCCACTCGAGGGCCAGGGAAAGCTGCTGCGGGACTAGGGACAGACACTGTGCATCAAGGTAAGGGACAGGCTTCCAGGCCGAGTCAGATATCCTGACTTTTCCTGGTGTGAAGTGAGATGCTGAATTAAGTCTAACCGGAGAACGGGCTGTGTCAGTGATACGCACCCACACCTGGGAGATCGAGTTGCTGGCTGGAGGAGAAAAATTCCGGTCACAGCCATTAACTGCCTGTATCCAGCATCCGTCGGCCTCTCAGCTGGCCTCTCCCTCTCAGTCTTCAGTTTGCTGCATTCTCATTCGATCTCCCTGTAACAGGGAGCTCGGTGACACTTCTAGTCAATCATTAAAATAACTTGCACCCTGCCCCTTAATCCAGATGCTCTTTGAGCGCTGTCTGAGTGCGTGGAGTGTGCTTTGAAATGGGTGGTTTGGGGTGGGGAGCAACGTTACTGAAATTCTGCTGCGAGCTGAAAATAACTAGCATGATTTAGGAACTGATAGGGACTTTCTCCCCTGAACTACGCAAATGGTACCATAGAAAACCGAAAGCTCTGTCAAATTTTAGGTCATTCTTTCCTGTATTCTTCTCAGTAAAATCCTTTTTCAGTAGGATAAAGGATTTAGAAATAAAAATCTGTCATTCTCTTCTTCCCCACTCCCTGCCCCAATATGAAATCCATATCCTAAAACAATCAAGTTTTGGGAAAGTCTGGCTGTATCCCTTTGAATTTTCCCATGTATCATTTAAAGCACCTAGCTTCAGAAAGGGAAATATATTTTAAAGTGCATTTACCACAGCAATAGTACCAGCACTAGAAGCTTTTTCCCTCATCCCTGTACTTTTCATTCTGTGTCTGGGACAGATGAAAACCTCCCCAGAATTCGTCCTCTTTGTACCTTGAAGTCTCAGTGTATCTGCATCTACTTAATGACACTGGAATAAAAGAAATCCAGTGTCACGTATCCTGCTCTGCACTAAACTCTACTCTGGAGCTTGTTTAGATTTATTGGGCATGAGGATCCAGCATGCGGTATACGTCTATTGGATACTGCATTTAAACGGCCGCCGTGAAACTATATCCCAGTGTGCATGAGGATGAGGAGAAGGACTAAGGAGAAGGAATTTTCCCCCCCTCTCCCCTGCTCCTCTTCAATTCGCTCCATCCCAGCAGTTCAGTACTTGTTGATCCCAAAGATCCGGACTCCATGCAACTGGGGCAGTTTGGGGATCAGGACACTCATAAGGGAGATGGTGTTGATTATGAAGTGTATCCGGTCATACTTTGTGTAAAAGCTGGTTAGAAAATACCTGGAAAGGAGGGGACAAAAAGAGTAAGTTGAATTACAGCACCCGCGGTTTCAGTCTTCCTCACGGTTCCCTGTTTGCTTAACCCTGTATCTGACCTCTTTTTGGACAAGGCACATAATTTTGTTCTGTTTCCGTTCTGTGGCTGTTATCATGGGATCCTATTCCACAGCAGGCTCTTAAATATTACCATAGTCTATAAAAACAAGTTCCCTGCTAGCGCAGCAATGCCCGGGATGCTGGACCTTAGAGCAGCACAGTCTATATGGATCTATCCAGAGTACTTTAGAAGCATGAACTCCAGCTGCAGGGCACCCCAAGGAACCTGGGGACTGTTCTTAAAACATTTAGCCTGAGAGCAGGCAAGGGCAGTGCTGATGTGTGTTTCTACAGCCTGCTGCCAAATACATCCATAGATAAATTGCTCTGCAAGCAGAAGCAGGGAAGGGAGCAGGGAAGCAGTGACTTGGAGGAAGGGGGAGCGTTCGGTGTCCCCAGGATGGTGGCGCTACTCACAGCACGATGGGCATGATGGTGAGGAACTTGCGCGACGCCGTGAACTGCACCCCGTAGTCCATCTGCTCCCAGTGCGTGAGCAGCCGGGCCTTCCCCTGGTCGGGCGTCTCGAACGGCGTGCCCTTCACCGTGTGCAGGAAGATGTACATGCTCTGCGGCAAACGACAGCGGCTGCAGCGCGCGGGGCCGCCGGCGCCTCGGCGCCGCTGCGGCCGGCGAAGCCGCAGGAGCTAACGAGGCTCTAGGAGCTAACGAAGCTCTAAGAGCTAAACCGCTGGCTGGGGCTGCTCGGATGCGGCAGCGTAAGCAAAGAAGGTGGCTGCAACGTTTCAGCGTTGGGATCTCTGGGATCGGGGTGCCGGTACAGACTTGCACCGTGCGGCAGCGGTGCGAAATGCTTCCCAAGGGCGCTGGGAAACCTGCGAGCGGCGAGGGCCTCTCCCTGCTCTGATTACCAGGTAACTTCTTGAAGCAGAGCAAGAGTTACAGACAAGCAGCGAGTGTCTGCTAAGTTGGGCTTGTCTTTTAAATAGTTATTGGTGGTGTCTCAAACTCCTTGCTGGTCCCAGGACAGGGCGCAGAGGAGAGAAGGGGAAGGGAGCAGGCAGCATTTGTGCTGAATTCAGCCTCCAGCAGCTCCAGTTACAGCCACAGATAACATAAGCAAGAGGATCCCCATGAAGAGGGGGTATTTCTGACTCCTGAAGAGTCCCAGTCTGAGGGTGGAGGTTGAGTAAGTCACCCTGTGGCTCTGGAAATGCAGATAAAGGAACCGTTTTAATGGGGTCTTACTAGAGCAGCCGGTGCGGAGACCCACCCCCACTCCATGTGTCCCGGGGAATCCAGCCCTTACCATGTTGTGAATGATGTTAGTAAGAGTCCAGACCACGGGAACGCTGAAGAAGGGGATGCTCAGCAGCACGACGTGCAGCAGGCCGATTCCAAGGACGTAGGACAACCAGATGCCCCGGCTGTTCATGACACGGGTGTTGGGGTTCACCTCGCTGTGCGCTGTTCCCACATTCATGTTGGCTTTTATGTCAGTCGGAACCCCTGAAACTAAAGGAGAGCCAGGTTAGTACTCGGATTTCGGGTAATTTTGTTACTCAGTTAAGAGCAGCTCGGGTGGAGCTGTTGCTGTCAAGCAAACCTGAGTTCTGTTGTGGTTGCTATAAAAATCACAAGTCAGCTCACTTCTTGGCAACTCGTTTTTTTCCATTTGTAGAGCTGACATTTCTGAGAGGAAGCTAAATCCAGAACAGCTGAAATTTGGGAATAATGTGTGGGACGCCTGTCTGTGAGAGGAGCTGTGTGATGTGCTGCAATGTCTTCTTGGAACCAAGGTGTCAAGGTTCAATCCCATGATTGCTGGACAAGACTCAGACAAACACTTTCCAGGTCATGGTGACAGCGTTAATACAGAAGCACTTACATATGAAGCTACTTTATGGTTTATGGCTGTTTATGGGTTCAGCATACCTTAAAACTCACCAGTCCTTGTAGAACAAAGGCACGACAGCTCTATAATGACAGATCTCTCAAGTGCTTTCACTGATTTATAAGGGTTCTGCATAGCTCTAGGGCCTTGTTGCTCTCGCCATCTAGCTTACGTGTTCTGCCTTCCAATTGAAAACTTTAGCAAAAAGTTTTGCACGGGGAAGGAGGGAGATTTTCAGCAACAGAAAATAAGCTGGAGAGAACAAGGAAGACTGTAGCAAGAGCTGCAAAGGAGACGGCTCCCGTCCCAGCTGGAAGGAGCAGATGCTGCGTAGGAGAAACGTGCTGAGATGTTTTTCCGAACAATCCCGGGAAGAGGGAGCGAGTCAGCGCTGTCCTTTCGGACAGCAACGGCAGCCTTTGGACAGGGCCCTGGGATGGCACAGCGGGGCTTCACGTGGCTGCCTTGGTGACTAGCGGCAGGGATCGGTCACGCTTCAGCATCACTGGGAACACGAGTGTGTCCAGCTTAGCCATCCTCAGGAATTACAAGAAATAGCAGAATGGGGAAACAACTGCAAAGCAGAATACTCTGGGATGGGGAAAGCCTTGCATAAAATCCTCTTTGTCCACGTTCCAAGGAAGAGCAGCGCCGTTTGCTAATACACTGTTCTGTTTCTGGCACAGAGGGCCGGGGAGGCGAGGGCACCCCGCGGATGTCCAGCCTTGCATTTGCTGCCGTGGTTCCCGCAGCTGGACGAGGGAGCTGCCGTTCCACGGTTCTCACCGTCCGTGGTCTCTGGAGACGCGGCCCGGCCACACCCGACACGAC